AGCCTGGGCGGCGTACGGGGCCTTCTCCTAAGGTGGTTTCCTTGGGCTCCGGGGAGCCCCAGCCCCGAACGATAACCCGACGGCAGCAGGGCGTCCTCGGGCCCCACTGAGGAGCAGGAACTGGGGTTGGGGCGCCTCTGAGATGCGCGGGGAGGCGTTGCTTTAACGCTCCGGAGTGGGGCTGCCTCCCGGCCGCGCGCACAGAGCAGGGCGCGCTGGCTGCAGCGGGGTGAGGTCATGGCCAAAAATCCCCGGCGCCGGACACTGATGCCGACGCTCCCCTACGAGGACGCCGATGAGCCAACAGCCGGGGCGGCAGCAGGCCGACGTCAGGTTTCCTGCCGGCTCGCGGAGGACATGCCCGGCCGAGGGCTGCGCCTCTGTGCCGGCAGCGGGTCAGGCCGGGCGCCTGACGGGGCGGCCAAGAGACGCGCCGCAGGGACAGCTGGGCTGGCAGAGGCTGCTTAGCAAGGACCCCGGAACCTGCTGCTTCATTCTGAGTGTTCAGTTTCAAGTGGAAAAAGACGTTTTGGTCTCTCTTTTTTTTTTTTTTTTTTTTGCAGTGCTACTGTGATGCTCCTTGATTGGGGCTCCTGTAGCTCAGAAACTACCTGTGTGTTAGGCAGTTGAGGTGAGAGGTCAGCCCTGAGAAGCTCATGAAACAGGTTTGAATAAAAAAAAATCAGTGCTAATCAGTTACTGTCAGGGTCGAGTTGATGGCCGAGGAGCCCGTGCCTCAGTCGGTTGGCTGCAGTGAACAGTGCCTGTGGTAGGACCATCGCCCACTGCCCTGGCCCAGCCCACAGGGCAGACAGTCTACAGCCCACGGTGGAGGAGGTTCCGCGCTGGTGTCCGTGGCTGATAGGGTCGGAATCTCTGGGCTGTGCCTTTAGGCAAAACGGGTGGTTAAAAAATCTTCCCTGGATGGAAGACCTCTTCTTCTGTCTCACCTGGGGCTTGGGAGGCTCCATTCTCCACCCAGGGAGGGACTGACGCTGCCCAGGACAGGGGCCTGTCATTGGCCACCAAGCATCATTTCTACCTGGACTCCAGATTCTTGTCTGAATTCTACACAAATAGGAGAAGGGAAGCCTGGAAGTGAGGTGGTTAACTATTTTTTTCTTTTTCCAAAAGCCTGCGCAACATAATGGAGAGGCAAGGATGCCTAGGAGGCAGGAAGGTATTCCTGCCCAGCCAGTTCGTGTTGTGACTCGAAGAGCAGCAGAGAAAGCTGTTCAAAGCCCTGCCTATAACCTGTGTTGGAACAAGCTTGGCTCAGTGTTTCTGAAAGAGAGACCTCTTTGAGCCCAGCCTGGGCTTGGCTGCAAGAGTCCAGCTGCTTCTAACTGTCTGGTAATTAAGCCACCTTGAAATTGTGAGTGTAAAAATGAGTTAGAGGTTTGGTGGTTTCTCAGAAAATTAAACATAGAATTGCCATATGGCCCAGCAACTCCACTCCTCGGTAGCCTGGTAATTAAGCCACCTTGAAATTGTAAGTGTAAAAATGAGTTAGAGGTTTGGTGGTTTCTTAGAAAAGTAAACAGAATTGCCATATGATCCAGCAACTCCACTCCTCGGTATATAGCCAAAAGAATAGAAAACAAGCATTCAAAGAAAAAAAATCATGCACCTATTCATGGCAGCATTATTCAGAATAGCCAAAAGGTGAGAACAACCCATATATCCATCAGTGGATGAATGGATAAACACGTAGCACATCCATGCAATGGAATTATTCAGCCATAAAAAGGAATAAAGTACTGACATGCTCTAACATGGGTGAACCCTGAAAACATTGTGCTGTTTACAAAGGCCACACACTGTGGTGTTCCATTTCTATGAAACGCCCAGAGTAGGCAAACCCATAGAAACAGCAGATTAGGAGTTGCCAGGGGGTAGGGGGAGGGAAAAATGAGAGGCTGTTTAATGGATATAGGGCTTCCTTTTCAGGTGGTGAAAAAGTTTAGGAACTAGATAGGGGCGATGGTTGCAGAATATTATGAATGTACTAAATACCATGACTTATTCACTTTAAAATGATCAAATGATGAGTTAGATGTTGTGTGAATTTTATCACAATTTAAAAAATGAGGTAGGGAAAACAATATTTTCCATAAAAGAAAAGTCATTGGCATTATTTAACACTGAAGTACCCACAGTGTGCAATATTCATGAATAAAAGTGTGATTGTGTTTGCTTTAAAATAACAATAACAGTATAAGTTATCTGCACCAAAAGCAAACCTGCTCTAGCAGATTAATGATATTAGTGATATTTTAATTTTCAGACAAATATTTCATAACTGAAAAAAAATCCAAACTCTTTAAGGGAGTATAGAGTCTATTGATTAGAACTGAACCTGCTGGCATATATTTCCACTAGACCTAGATGTTAATTCATTGGAAACATCTGTATTACTGGGCAGTTAATTCAATTGCAAATGAGGGATTTAGAAGCCCCAAGAAGCTGTGATATAATGGATATATCAATGGATTGAACAGTTTGTTAGTTGCAAAGCCCTTTCTAGAAACACAAAGTCTAATGCCAGTCTTGCCAGATAAATAATGCAGGTGTAACTAAAAATGTAGAAATACATTTCCAAATGGCCTTTCTCCTGGAATGTGATCGCCTTAAGATAGGACAAACCCTTTCCAAGAATCCTGCCCATTCCTGAAATCTATTTGTAACTCTTCTGTTGGAACTAAAAGAAAGGCAAGCCTCCTATCTTACAGTCACAGACTTTTTTCAGTTTAAATTAAAAAATGGCATCACTTAGCTCATTTACCAACATTTGTGCCAGATAACTTTGTGCTGTTTACAGTCATTATTATCCACAAAGGACAAAATCTTTGTCACCCTAAGACATATTCAACAAATGTGCCAGAGGCTCTAGGAACAATTCCAAAAGAGGAGTTAATTTTTTTTTTGAATGATGGGAAAGATTATTTAAATAAGTGTTTCGCCTGCCAAGGTGACTACTCCCTATTCAGGATTGGACCACACCCATTTAGATATGTTTACTTAAAAATCAGTGACATTACTGAGTGGTTAAACCTTGGGTTCGTTTTCTAATAAGGACGGTTACACATCCAGGTTCTTGCTACACAATTGTGTTCTGTCTCGTCAATGTAAAATCAGTGGATTCTAATCCTTTCTTACAGATAAAATAAGCAGGGACTTTTCCTACCTTCCTTCCCCTGCCAGAAAAGGAAGGGAATCCCCTGGCCCTCCCATAATGCAAATCCCTCACATTTGTTTAAAGTTTTAAACACCCCAGGGCTCTCTGACCTACTTTATGTCACTCTGGAACACCCAGCATGAACCTTACTCCCACCTGCACACGAGGAAGCTGAGGGGAACAGAAATTCAAGTGACACACTCTGAGCCTCACTCAGACTGACTGGTTGCAGAGCCAGGGGTAAATGCTCCCTCTTTTGACTCTGAATCCAGTGCTCTTTCTGATATGTCCAAATTGTCCTAATGCCCCAGATGCCCAGGTATACGAAATTCAAACTAAAGAGGTAGCCACCTGTGTACTTAACCATGAGGTACCATAGAGTCCGATGGTTTTGTTGGTTGGTTGATTGGTCTGTTTTTTCCAGCCCCTTTCAGGCTGACTGCCATCTGGAAGTTTACCAGCTCTTGGGCTGATTCTGGTAAAATGTTCCATACTTTGAGCTCAGCCTCCAGTTTGTAAAGTGTTCCAGGTGGTTGATGTAGAAATAAGAAAAGAAGAGCCGTGCTACGGCAACATTTGCATGGTGCATAAGCCCCAGACATCCCCTCAAGATGAGCTAGATATAAAGAGGCCGCTTTTTTTTTGGTCATGAAAATGGATGGTGCCCTTACCANCAGCCTCCAGTTTGTAAAGTGTTCCAGGTGGTTGATGTAGAAATAAGAAAAGAAGAGCCGTGCTACGGCAACATTTGCATGGTGCATAAGCCCCAGACATCTCCTCAAGATGAGCTAGATATAAAGAGGCCGCTTTTTTTTTGGTCATGAAAATGGATGGTGCCCCCAGAATGAGCCTCTCATGTGGAAAGTTTTGCATGAAACTAGACATGTGGAATCGCATTGTTGGTGGGGCTTTTTGTTGTTGTTATTAATGGAAAACATGACATTAATTACTGGTTATTATTTTTCTCAGCCTCCAAGAAAGATCCACGAGCTGCTGTTGACCAGCTGTGACCTCCCTGGCTTTATCCGCAGTCAGAAGCCTGTGCTGTCTTAAAGTCACACACCAGCATGCCTAGGGACTCTTCCACCTTGCTTACTGCATCGCCCGTATACAGGCAATCTATTTATATAACACTGAGCGAGCGCAAGGCTCTGCCTGTAAATCTGAGCTTATTTCTGAGAAATTCAAAACATCCTGCTCAGTCCCTCTCATTTATGTTCCCTTGCAGCTATTAAAGATGAGGGACACTTTTTATGTTACTGCCCGTAAATGGGCTGCCCCTTGCTGGAAGCAGTAAGGGCTCTTTAACATAAATTCTGTTTCTCCAGGAAGTGTAAGTCTGCAGAATCTCCGAAATTTATTCCTGTATCTTAATATCTGCTTCCAATCTGGTGGCAGGAGTTTTCATTCCCTTGGAAGACTGGATTGATTAGCAAGCTTGGTCCTGCCGTTTCCAGGAACCACAGTCCTGGCCAGCTGGCCAGGTAGCGTCACATGTCACAGTATGTAGGCCCATCCTTTGCCTCAGTCCATGTGCCAGAAGCGTCAGCTGCTCGAGTTCACCGTTAAGCAGTAAAGGTTCACCCAGTGGTACTGGGACATGGTCCATGTGGCTTTTGTCAGACTGTAGCAGGCTGACTCCCAGAGCAAATAATGTCACCTGTGTATCTGCCTCCAAACTTGGTGCCAGCTCCTGGGTTGCTGAGACGATCAAGTGTGATAACATGCAAAGTGCCTAGCCCCAAATAGGTGTCAGATAATTACAGCGTTTGCTGCCAGGCATTGGTGATTAAAAGTGGTTAATGATTTTTTTTTATATAAAAATAAAGATTAAAAGGAGTAAAGTTGCATATACTAAGTTTTAAATGAACTATACCGATGATTGCTTCAGGAATCTAGAGTCTGGAGCATGGCTCTTTAATAAAAATACACCTGGCTGGTGTGGCTCCGTTGGTTGAGCATTGCCCTGTGCACTGAAAGGTTGCTGGTTTGATTTCTTGTCAGGGCACATGCCCAGGTTTGCGGGTTCAGTCCCCAATTGGGGTGGGTACAGGAGGCAACTGATCAATGTTTCTCTCCCTCTCTCTTTCCCCTTTCCTGTCTCTCTAAAATAAAATCAATAAAAACGTATTTAAAAGAAAAATATCTATAATGCAAGCCACATATATAGTTTTTAATTTTCTAGTAGCCACATTAGAAAAGCAGAAAGAAAAAAGTGAAATTGACTTTAACAATATAGTTTATTAAACCCAACATGTCCAAATATCATTTCAACATGTAGTCAGTATAAAGATTAATAGAGAGCTAGCTCACATTCTTGTTTTTATACTTGGTGTTAAAATTCAGTGTGCACTTTACATCTGCATGAATCTCAATTTGGATGCTAAATTTTCATTGAAGATAACTGGTCTGTATTTGGATTTCATAAAACTTACATTTGAAAAAGTAGATTCACAAAATCGAATGGTTCCAAATGTACTTAAACGTTTTCCAAAAGCTGAGTCGAGTGTCGGTCTTTAAATTTAAATGAATTAAAATTAAATAAAATACAAAATTAAGTTCCTCAGTATCACCAGCCACATGTAAAGTGCTTGGAGCTAGTGGCTATTCCCTGGTCCAACCCCTGGGAAGTGGACAGAAGCTTTGAATGACAGGTCACAAGGAACGGAATGAGGAATCACATCCAGGCAGGTGGAACAGCCTGAAATGGGCATGCACCTGGCCTGTGCTGGGGACAACATGGGAGCTGGTCTGATTAGAACCCACCAGTGGAGGTTGAATAGGCATGGTGGGGTCAGGTTGGGAAGGGCTTGGTCCCTGGTGATGATGTTGAAATTTTATTCTGTTGCTAAGTGGGAACCACTGGAATATTTTTGAGCAGGGGATGGGTGACATGTGCACTATTTCAGGACCATCCATCTGGCACTGGGGCCCAGGAGGAGATGGAGAGAGGAGAGCCAGCAGCTGAGAAGAACAGTTTGGAGGTGGCTGTGGTGATTTAGGTGAGCAGTGATAGCTCCTGGCTAGAGTGAGAGCCAACAGAACCCGCCTGAGACTTTACAGAGCTAGACTCCATAGGACTAAGGAAACCAGAGGCTTTTTAGAGTGAGAGCGAGGAAAGGGGCAGAGGTGGCGGGAGCACTGGATTCTGCATGCTTAAGGGACTGGGTTCACACTCACCCTATGAGGAAGGAACCAGGGCAGTTCTCCCCATCAGGAAATGACTTGCCCAGGACAGATGGCTGAAACCAGGCCCAGGAGACTGGCTTTTTTTAATGGATTTTAAAAAGCAAATGTATAATTTATATCACCCACTCCACCCTATGAATCACACGGTGATCCTGGACTTTGTCCAGAGCCTCTAGAGATTGTGAAAGTCACTCCTTCATTCGAGGGAAATCCCTGAGGTGCTGGTTCTAGGATGGAACCGAATTAAGGATTTTTCAGCAGTCAGGACAAAGGTGGAGGCCACAGCCCCTCTGTTCTCTGGCTAGATATCATACCCCTAATATCTTCCCCAGGAAAAGCATTACTTCTGATGTGAATTCAGGTTCTGCAGTATTGGGGGAAGGCTCTTCTGGAAGGGAAGCTGCTCATCCCCATCCCCACCCAGGCCTGAATCTCTGTAATCTGTAGTCTCCACTATGCAGATGATCCAGGTCAAAAGCAAGCCTGCTGGGGCTGCTGGCATGCAGTTCAAGGACTGAACTGTGGACTGTGACACAAGCCCAACACTGCATTGTCTGGACATGTGAGCTGTGCCTGTTTGTGCCGGGCACTGCGCTCCATGTTGAGCACAAAAGGAAATAAATTTAGGAGGAGTTTATAGTGAGTGAGGCCAGCTGGTCAACCAGTCATTGTGCTAAGCGATCGGTGCCAGGAGGGGAGCAGGGACAGCTGCCCAGGGCCTGGAGAGTTAGAGCATCTCAACCAGCTTGGGAGCTCAGTGTGGGGCCTCATTGAAAGCAGGTGGGTGGTATTGGAGTTAAGCTTTGAAGAGAAGGGGAAGAGGGGAGTGGGGAGGAGGGCATTCTGGGCTGGAAATAACATCCAGATGAAGGCCAGGAGGCGTGGACTAATAATGGAGTAATAATGAGATCACTGTGGTGGTCACTGGTTATGAGCTCTTACTAAGGGCTTCAGAAGCTCTGAGCAGTCAAGTGCACTCGCCAAGGTCACACTCAAGGGAAGGTGCTGATTCAAATCATGAAATACCAGACTCGTGCCAGCCCTCTGGGCAGCACAGTGCACTGCACAGCAGGGCTGCAAATCACTCAGCGTCACCTTGGGAGCATGTGGGGACCCCTACAAACATTGGGCTTTAGTATTGTCTTGATGAGTGGATCAAAGTCACGTCTTAGGGGGCTCAGGAGGTACTCCTGTTGCTGACCGGAGTAGCTGGAAGACTCAACCAGATAGCTCCATGCAGGACATGCAGGGGATACTCAGCGGCCGTAACGGCCCTGCCCAGCACAGCAGCGTGCAGCACCGGGGCCTGTGTGTGCAGAGCGGCCCTCGCCCCGGCGTGTGCACGCAGCTCTGAGCCCCGGGGCCGGGGGGTCTGGGCAGGCGCTTCCTCCCGGCAGGCTGGGCATCAGGCATTGGCCTTTCTAGGTCAGGCGGGTCTGTCTGCAGCCGCGCGGAAGATGCAGTTTGTGTAAACGGCAGACATGCGGGCACCCTGAGTAAACACAGACTATCTCCCGCTCCAGCGTTTCCTCTGGGGGGCTCATCCTCCAGCTGGGACGCTCGATTCCAACTGGCTTATCAACTGGAGCTTCCTATCCTGATAAAAGGAAGCTATTCAAGCCCGTTTCCTGGTATTGCCTTGACCTCACCAGGGCAGGCTTGCATTGAAGTGAATGTCCCTTAGAGGGGAATATTTTTTCACCTTCAAAAACCCATTACGCAGCCTCAGATCCCCACATCAAAGGAGCCTGCAGGCATTTTGAAAATGTGTTTAGCCAAAGCCTTATGCCTTTAATGTTTACTTTCTGCTTCAGCTAGTTCAAGTGCATTTACTCGGCTCTGGTGCTGTCCTCGGAAAGGCCCGGGCGGCCTCTATTCCCTCATTTCGAGACTTGTCCTTCCCAGTGTTGTCTGCCCTTTGCCATCCCTCAAATAGGCCCTGTTCCGCCTCTTTTAAGCATTTCCTCATACTCTCTCTGCTTCCCTAGTGCCCTTATGATTAGAAAAGTCCTACCCTCTTTTCTTTCCAAGCACTATGGAAGCAAAGAATATGAGAAAAAAGAAATGGTGAAAGACGTATTCAAGATTTAGCTAAAAAAAAATTAAAAACCCAAACACTCCCGGAGTACTGTAGCCTTCATTTTCCTCCTCACCTGAACTCCTATGGAAACCATAGTCTCTGCCACACAGTTTCGGACTTGTGGCGCCAACCTCCAGGATGGCCCTGATGAGTCTCTCCTGGGACCCGCGCCCTGTGTAACTCCTCCCGACACGAACAGGGCCGACCCGTGTAACCGAGGGGTTCTCGTGGCACAGTTTCACAATGAAGACATGTGGCTTCCACCTTGCTCTCCCGGATTACTCCCCGGAGAAGCCCGCCGCCGTACTGTGAAGACGCTCAAGCAGCCCCGCGCAGGGGTCCACGTGGGGAGGAACCCAGGCCTCCTGCCAAGAGCCAGCGCCACTTGGCAGCCCTGAGAGCGAGCCATCTGGCCAGAGTCAGCCAAAAGTCAGTCCCCAGGCAGCAGCTTGTCTGCTACCTTTTGAGAAATCCTGAGCTAGAACCATGCAGCTATACGTTGCTGCCAAATTCCTGACCCACAGAAACTCTGAGAGAATAAATGTTGATTGTTGTATTAAGCTGCTAATTTTTAAAAAAAAAAATCCTAACCTGAGGACATGCCTAGAGAGAGGAAGGGAGAGGAGAGAGAGAGAGAGAAAAACAAAACAAAAACAGCAATGTGAGAGAAACATTGGTTGCCTCTGGTTCGTGCCCCAACCGGGGATCAAACCCACAACTAAGGTATGTGCCCTGACTGGGAATCGAACTGGCAACCCTTCAGTGCACAGGACAATGCTGAACCAGCTGAGCCACTCTGGCCGGGCAAAGCTGCTAAATTTTGAGGTAATTTTATAGACAGCAGTAGATAACTAATTCAGACCTTAAAAATAAAAATGATAGTACTGATTAGTAATAATAATTAACATTACTGAGTGCTTGGGAATTGCCAGGCACTGCTTAGCACTGTATACGTAATATCTCATTTAACAGTATAGTCGATACTACGACTAACAGCAACAGTTAACACTGACTGACAACATGCCAGAAACTGTTCTAAGTGCTTCACACACATTCCATTCGATCCTCAGAAGTAGCTGTGGTTGGTACATGTAAGGAAACTGAGACAGGAAGAAGCTGAGTAACGTCTCAGGTCGAGGGCACGCGGCTTGGATGCGGCAGAGCGGGACTGGAGCCCAGCCCGGCTCTGAAGCCTGTGCCCCGGACCCATCTTCCCGGTGCTGCCCATGGTGTTCTGTGCGACGCTTGGCTCCCCAGTCCAGGCAGACCCTCTTTCTCCAGTGACAGGGCCCTTCGCCTCTGATGCCCCACCGCGATGTGCACACACTCAAGGGCTCTGTAAATGCCTGCAGGTCTGCGACATTCCTTAGCTCAGATCATTCAACCAATGGATGGCGGCGCAGATCCCATGTAAACGCAATAAAGCTTTTCCAGCGGCGAGCAGGCCCTACAGAGCCACCGGTGCAACGGCGCTGCCGGGAGAAATGCATTTTTTGGACAGACCCATGAAGCGTCTTGCTCAACTGGTTTTTCCAAACAGATTGCTGGAAATGTGAGGCCAGGACTGTGCCTGGGGGCAGGACCTGTGGCACTGGGATAGGTTCCTCCATCTTCCAGGCTCCGAACCTGCCAAGTCTGGAGTGTACTTAGCTCCCACCATGGACCCTGGGCACGTTAACAGTACCTTCCATTTATCAGCCAGACACTCCG